GACCACTCTGTGTGGTTTGGCTGCTTTCATACATTCTTGTTTACCATGCGGCAAGTTTAAGGAGCGAAACAGGCTCCTACATACATGAATTTCTCAAGTCTTGACTTCTTCCTACACTACTGACCTGAGAGCAGAGCTCAGACTGACACCTGTCTGATTTTACAGACCTATCGCTGATCCGGGGTCACCACTTGTTTTTACAGCACCAAAGATCAGACGCTTTCTGGATTTAGCCTGTCGTCAACGTGAATCACGGCCCAAACAGGGTACAATGACTTTCAGGCTGCCCGGGAGATAAACTCTGTATTCAGCTGAACCGACACTGGAAGGGGGGGGAAAAAAATAACATCTACAGATAAATCAATAAACTCTACCCAGTCTTGCTCCAAGGACTGGAGCCTCATTAGCTATGTTTATTAAAGAGATGGAGCTTAAACTTTGTGTGTTGAATACACAAAGAGGGCAGCGGACAGGCTACTGCGTACTTCTAAAAGACAAGTCATGAGTCTGCAGGGCGACGGTGTGAATGTCCGGAAGTCTTCCTTTAGCGCTTTGCTCCGGCAGCAGCAGTTGAGGATTCCTGGCCTGGGAATGATGGGAGTTTGGGTGGGTGGGGGGGGTGTTGTACAGAACCACACACCTGCCAGATGATTTGTCATTATAGAGGGGTCAGCACTCAGCTGTCACCCCCTAATCACCCATCCAACCCCTCAAGTCACCACCCCCCCACCTCCACCTTCACCCACTAAACTCCACTCTCCAGTCCTCCCAAAACACCCCCTGCATTCCTCAGGCAGCTCCGGTTTCACTCACAGCACTGCTGCTCAATCTGCCCCTCCTTCCCTACACTCTGCCCTGAGAGAAAATGTACCCCTGTGAGAGACACACAGCACACTGAGCGCATTGTGTGGATGTGCGATGCGTGCTCATGCCCCCCGTGTACGCGTCTACGTGATTCACATGTGCTTGAATACATGTTTATCCAACGGCAGAGCTGTTTGTATCGATACCGAAAGCGAACCGTTGGAGCCGAGTTTTTAAAACCAGAGGAGAATGTGTGAATTGGTCCAGGCTGTGGTCTACGAAACAAAACCCCCGCAGACAAGCCAAACACAGAGAACTCTCACAGGTATACTATATCTGTCAACAGCAGTCTTTCATCACTGTGGGTCATAGGTCACACTCTTTTCCATTGAATGCAGCTTCCTCTGGGACATGCAAGTGTGTGTGAGTGAGATCCTCGGCCATTATTCTATCCACCGTCTACCAGATTATCTCAAGTTGTGCTCCGTGAGTGTGTCTGAGGGGGGCTCAGTGCCGTTACGTCATATCCTCAGACGCATACAAACCTCTTATCCATTATCATGCGTCTTATCATCACCACTGATAGTCTCTGCATCCCACAAGAGAGGAGGAGAGGGAGGAGAGTATTGCTAACACTTACCTTCTTAAGGAGAGAGCATGTTTAGAGTGTTAACAGAAGCTTTGGGTGACACTTGACATTAACGCTTATAGAAATACATTCTCGTGTGGAGTGACTGACAGCCTGTCCTCGAGAAGGCAGCTTGTTGCTATCAGTGATAATTAAGAGGTGCGCTTGTTTTCATTATGAAGGGCAGCATTGCTGAGGTGGCCACCATAAAAGCAGATACTGCAACTTCTGCCCAAAATCAGCCACACTTCCTGGACTAAGCCATCACCTGTCACGACTCATCTTGAGCTCTTAGATCTTGGCCCTGCACCTCCTATATCCAACCTGATGGGGGCAATAGAGGCTGGCTGACTGGCTAGGCCGCCACCTTCACAATTAATTGCAGCAGCCTTGAGAAGTGTATAAGCAACACACACACACACACACACACACACACACACCATCTTTCTTTTGTCTCCCGAGCTGCCACTTGATAACTTTGCCCCCTGGAAAGCTTAGAAGAAGAAAGAGGGAGAGGGGAGGATAATGACATGACATCAGTGTCATCGTTAACCAAATGGGGCTGTACACAATGGAAGCACATATGCTGACCAGTGAATGGCTGCTAGCACAAGACACACCCATACACAGAGCAAAAGGAGCCTTGACAGTTGGATGTAACATTCAGTGGATAGATCACTGATACACAGAGGAAGAAAAGCCTTTTCCCATGGGGGGTGCGGTCTCGTATGCAGTTATCAGTTACAAAAGACCCCGAGGCACTGGTAAAAAGGCAAAGAGGATTTCAATTAGGAAGAAAAACAAGAAAATAATAAAGAGGGAGAGACAGAAGGAAAAAAAAGGAAAAGGAAAGGTACCACAGGAGGAGGGTTTAATTCATACGTCACAGTGGAGAAGTACCTCCTCCCCTGAGGTGTGTGTGGCAAGTCCCCACAGCTAAGCCCCACATGACAGGAGTTTGTTTTGTTTCTCCAGCTCTTAAGAGGGAAAAATGAGCCAGTTAATCCCCCTGTACATTACTGGACCCTTTGCCCCAGGGATGAAGAGCAGAGGAGAGGCGCAGAATTCCAGTCAGTCTGTGTGTGTGTGCATAGTTATGAGCCCCATCAGACTCAAAATCAAAGCGTGCAACTCTAGACAGTGCATGGATGCAAACCACTACAGAGATCAGTGTGTTAAAATAGGCAGGAGACATCACCTCACCCTCCACTGGGTGTTGACCCTGCCGCCGCTAGGCTGTGATACAAATAAATCTGAAAGCAAGAGAGGCTGTTATCCTTGGAGTTCCCTGCTTGTTGTTGTCTCCTTTGCTGGCAGCGAGTAGCCTGACTGGGCCTGGCCTGGCTTGATCTCACAAGGAGACTGCTGGTCTGCCTCCAGAGGGGAAACAATAACACTAAAAGCAGGCCTCTTTCGAATGACCAGAATACACACTAGACAAACGGACCTCCCCCTTCGGTCGTTCTGTTACGCTCCCTCCGTTTCCGCCCGCTCTTTGGGTCAGAAATGACTCACCCGCAACTAAAAAGCTTCTAGTCAACTACAGTGCATGCTTATTTTGCCTCATACTTCAAGAGAAAATCAATATTTGCACAGATCTATGGGAGGGAAAACAATAGTGATGTGGCCTCCTCCAGCTCTGTCTGTTAATGGTCTGTTTACTGAGGCAGACAGGATAATGGTCTGGGTGTTGGCTGGTGGTGAATCAGACGGTGGCCACACTCCACTCAGTTTCTGATATAGTTAGTAACAAGAAGTGTACGCATCTGTGTGCGCAAGGAACTTAGACTCTAAGTAAGGTGGTGGATATGTGCTCTAAATAAAGATGGGGCATTCTGTTGACACAGACAGGTTTGCAAGTCAAATAGCTGGCCTCAGGCTCCCACACTTTTATACTCTCTTTTGGTTATGCAAATTTTAAATCTGTGTCTCATGGCTGCAGTCAAGCTATCAGATCTAAGCTGTAGAAACACTTGAATGGTCGTTGAAGCACTTCATTGAACTATATCGTTACTAGCAATGCTGGATCTAGTAACAAGCGAATGGCACGTGCATTGACTGTGTCGTATAGGAGAATGGAGGATATCAGATCTCTGGGAAACCAGGTCCACCTTTATGTTATGGTGACAACTCCAAGGTATTTGAGAAACAGTCCCACTGTTATGCAAGAGCAAAATAAACCATTTCCCATAAACGGTATTGTTTGGCAGCGTCAGAGAATATTGTAATTGGCGCAGTGAGAGCAAAATATGGGCCTTGAGACATTATCTAATAGTAGTAAAAGTAGATCAAAGCCCACTGCTCTCGAAAGAGTTCATCTGAGGTCACACTCACTGGTGCCTCACTCTCCGGCTCATAACTTAAAGCATCAAAGCTGTGTTTGTGTGGGAGAGAGTGTGAGGGTCTATGACTATTTGTGGCCCAGCATACGAGAGTCTCTCCAAGGTGCCATCATTCTCCTCCTGTCAGTCTCAGCACCCTGACATCCTGGTGCTGCACCTCAGTCCCCCACGGTCAGTGACCTCTGACCCCACCCCCTGGCCCTTCCTGACCCATCAGATGGATATATGCCTTGCAGGGCTCAGAGAATCTGGGTTACATGGTAAAGCTATTCATGGCTGTTTCTACAGATTCCTCTGGAGCGCCTCGTCTCTGCATATTGAGAGAAAAAGAAAAATATCATGGCTGACTTGCACTTTCATCGCAGAGTGAGAAAGGAAAGCAGAGAAAGGAAAAGAATGATTTGTATGCAATGTAAACCTCATATTCTCTAATTTAGCGATGGCAGAAATGGATTCAAAAGCACTCTATGGACCATGTTTAGTGGTCCCTGCTAACTTCCAGAGCCAAATCCAGGGTCACTGCTTGTGCTCTTGGCCAGTGAGGCCAGAGCTGGAAAGATTGAGAGTTCAGACCTGGAGTCAGGCCAACCAAGCAGGGAGAGGCTAGAGAAGCTGGCTGCCGGTAACTGAGAGCTGTGATGGCACCATTGACTATCCTGGATATCTCACTCCCACCAAAGCACTTAACATGCAGTATAAGTCAACACACAAACAAACAAACAGATGCACACACTATTCAAATAAACACGCAGACGCCAAGGGATGGGTGGAAAGCTAAAGAACACAGGCAGAAGGAGAGCATCACTCAGAGAGCCATTAACCCCTGGCTTCCAACCAGAACAGTGAGCAGGCATCCTTTAAGTACATGTTAAACATAGCTAGTCTCTGTGTGTGTGCACAAGTGATTTATGTATTACTGCTCTGTGTCCAAGTGTATCTATGCAGTTACAAGAAAAGGCTCATGAACCCTGTGTAATTACCAGGATTTCTGCATTGATCACTCATAAAATGTGATCTGAGCTTCAGCTAAGAGACAGTTATGTACAAACACATTCTCAGCAAACAGCTATACTATTCATTTCTTTATTCAAACGAGGAGTAATAATTCACAGTCCCGGCTAGACACTTTAAAACCCGCCAAAAATCTATGTTCACTGTGTTTTTATTTAACCCCCCCCCAAAAAAAACTGCAAGTTTTTGTTTTGTTTGGGGTTTGTTTTTTTTTGTTAGAGCAGCACAGACCACCCAGATACTCCACAGTACTCATGGGACAATGTACTGGTGTGACAGACATTAATCTGCTTTGAAAAAATAAAAATGCACCAAACTATTTCCGCACGTTGGAAGGAGCATCGAGTTTTATCTCTTTGTTACCTTGGAGTCTAAACCTTTTGCAATCACTGAGGGAAAAATGAATTCAAAACTGAATCACAAAAGTTTTAGAGGAGAACGTCAGGGCAGCAGCCAGGTTGGTAAACGCAACACGACAACGATGAACCAAAGCACACAAGCCAAGAAAAAAGAAAACGTGGTTAAACCTGAAGGGGGGGTGGTCTGAGGAAGAATTCCTAGAAATGTTGATGAACTGAAACAGTTTTAGAGGGAGGAACGGTGCAAAATACGCTTGTGCTACAGGAAATTCCTGACAGAGGCTCCTAAGTGAGGTGTTACATGCTATTATGTTCAAAAGGTTTACTTACTTTTTATAACCCACACACTAAGTGATTACTTAATGTTTTCAGTAAACATATGAAAAGTATAACTCAAGTGTGACTTACAAGCTACTATTATCCATACATTCATATAGCGCTTTTTAAAATAGACTTAAGCAATTTATCTGCCAGAGTCAATTTAGAATCATGCGTGCCTGATGGATACTTTAGAAGTCTTAATAGGTCAGATATAAAGTCTGATTAGTCAACAAGCATAAGATTTGGATGAACTAGTGCAGGACTATTATCTACAGTGGCTAGCACAACAGTGACCCTGTAAAAGCTGGGGTACATCTAGTGTGTGTAGTGAATACTGCTCATGTATCATGGCTCTCTCTGTGTTACTGAAGCGGTCATGCATATTAACTTCAAATGCTCGGAGAAGCCACCAAAGCTACGTATCGCATGTCTGAAAAAGGCTTTGAGTGTTATTAGTTTAATCAAATTGTCTGTAATTGTGACTTTGGTGGGGATCGGGATACATTTTATTAGCTGCTAATTTAGAAATCCTGGCAATTTCAAAAGAGGCTCGAACTTCTTCCTGCAACTGTATGTCCATGAGAACATTGATCTACTTCAAACTTGAGTGTTCAGGAGACAAAACTGACTGATTGTCTTCGTTAATGAATGAAGGTCACAGCAAACTACCTAAGCCTATTTAACCCTTCAGACAGAGTGGTCCTTGGACTGCTTCCTTGTGCAGAGAAGTGCATCCCCAGGAGAGGAGCGCTAGACTAAACACTCCGTCCATTCAGCTGCTCCCCTTCTCCCCACCGACAAGAGACGGACGCCTGACAAGCACTCCCAGAGAAAAACCTCACTTTTTCCACCAATTATAGAAAGCAATGCGGAGTGGGGGAGGAGGCAAAACTTCAAAATATTATACACACTGGCATTTGGCGGAGCGCATTGAGCAACCTCTGTCAGAGAAAGATGGGCTAATTTCAGGGCACCCTGTGCCAACACAAACAACTGTTCTGGATTGCTTTCATTGTCAGCACTTGAGGTTTGAGTCACATTTTTTCAGCACTCCGCAGCCAATTTCTCTTTCCCCTATTTTTCCCCCCATATGATTTGTCCTTGTCCAAGATCCCAGTCAGTCTTTCATCGCCTGCACAGTCAGCGCTTAAAAAGTATTCTGGTAGAGAACAAACTCAGATCCAGATGCTCATCTACATACGCAAAACAAAAATAGAATATTTTTTTTATTTTGGAACCCCCAGCATTTGCCTCCAAGAGCTCAAGCACAAAAACTTATTGTAAGTGTAATGTAAACGTGTCTTTGAGGTGCTGTGTATTGTGATGTATCCATTTGTTTGAAGGTTATGGCTGTCAGCTGGCGACACGAGTTTAACAGCTACTACTCGAGTCCCACAGTGCTGTGTGCTGGGATTCATATCGCAGCCATGTCAATGTAAACATCATATGTTACTGTTTGTGTCTCCAAAGCGGTATTTACTTTTACTTTGATTTTGTTTATTAAAGGCTTTTACTGTTCAACATAAAAGCAAGGAGCCATGGCAGGACATTTGGAGTACAGGCTGTAGCGTTACATTCACAGTCTACTCATAACTCTGACAGCTCACGCAAAGCTCTGGGTATGTGCCAGTCAAAGAGATGGGCAGCTCTATACTGCCATTATAGAAAACCTCACACAGTGGGGGGTCACATCCTCCGTGGCAAATCAAACACACCTATGCACGTCAGGACAGGAGCGTTTGTAGAGCGCGATATGTATGTGTGAGCGGAGAGGGTAGATGCTGAGGTGGAAGCTGAATGGGCACTTTTGGAGGCCCCTGAACATGCATCCTATAACCAGGCAGCTGTCTTTAATATAAGAGTCCACTTCAACTCATATTTATTCAGGTACAGCTGACAGAGAAGGAGACACGGTGAAAGAGGTGTGGCTTTTCTTTTTCCTGGCAGGCGTGCTGCGCTCCTGCGGTTTTTTTGGGGGGCAAAGGGACAAGACGAAAAAGACAGACACTCAGAAGGGGGGTGGGGGGTATGTGGTGCAGAAGAAAAGAGCAAGTTGACATAAAAAAAGGCATGGCTCCACTCAGTCCTGTGTTGACTGGACATCCTGTGCAAAAGACGAGCCCTGGAGGCCCCGGGGCCACCAGGGAGGGGGGTGGGGTGTATGAGCTCGATCCTCCAGTTTTACTTGATGGCTGTGTCCAAGACAAATCACCAGTGGAACTGCTGTCACAGTGAGCCTTGACCAAGACAAACAGCCGTGTTTTAAAATAAGTACCTGCCCCCTTCACAGGCCCTTCTACCTCATCCACACTCAGGCGCATCCACATCTCGTCACACATTAAAGCAAATTCCCTTCACAGGTCATAGGACTGGAGCTGTAGTCCAACGCTCTACACAGGGGACTCACTTTTCACTCTCTCAACGCTGTCTGCATTCTCTCTCTTGTGCACGCACACTTGTGAATATTTACCACATCGCAAGAGTTCCACTGTGACCAAAAGGCCGGGACTCCAATAACAAAAGGTGAGTGTGTGTGACATAAAGCCTACAGCACATTTACGGGGCACCCTGTGGGCGCGTGTGTATACAGGCTTGATCGTCTATGTACATCGCAAAATCTCCAACTTAGCTGAATCACAAACTGCCAGCAGCACAGAAATGTCAGCACTATTCCCTTCTTTTACTTAACAGCACATTGCATCTTGGGAGTTGTGGTTTGTCTGTAGGGGGCTGTCTGTGTCGCTGCCTGCAGCCTGCACCAAAGGGACTTGTGTTCTTCACTGAACTGAACAGAGCCTCATTTATCTCTGTGGCAGAGTCCTTCCTCTCCAGCATCGGTCCTCCTGGACCCCTGAACTGCTGACACTAGGGGAGGTGGGGCTGCTTTTCCTCCTTCCACTGAGCTCCAGCATGCAGCAAAAATTGTGAGATGCGTTTCATCTGCATATTGATTAGCCTGGCCAAAAGAAGTAGAACCTCAGCACTTCACTGAATACATAATGTAAACAAGCAGCAGTTATTCAGCTTAAACTCTCCTGAAACGTTTCACCTTCAGCGTGTGCTTTTCCAGGTGATTGTGCAACAAAAGTCAATGGCAACTTTTTCCTGAACAAAAAAGGAACAATAAAACTAGAAATCCTTTATCCTAAACACGCTGACATTATACTTTAATATGCACATCTCAGCCAAATTAAAGTTACTGCTAGAGTGAAGCACTGAGCTTGCCCCTGAAATTAAAAAGCTATAACCCCACTTTGCTTCTATCACCCAATAAACACAGGCCGCCCTCAACGTGTGGGCAGGCTATAGTCCCAGCCAGTTGCAGTGCAGACGGCTGGGCGCTGGGTTGGCTGATAGATAGCTTACATTCGGTGAGGAGTGGACCAATGGCGTCGTGGATTGATTGGCCCAAAGGGGCCGTCGGGGGAAAGCACTTCCTGTGTGTTAATGGACGCTCCTGCAGATGCACTGTGGCGGCTTGTGGCAGCGTGATGGCTGTTATTCCCTTTCCCTCCTCCCTTCCCCGCCCTCACTTTGCTTTCACTCTCCCAGTTAATCAGAAGAGAGTCAAGATTTTCCAAGCAGACCTCTCATCTGGCAGCTACTCGCTACACCTACAACAAAACCTTTTCAAACATAATAATTTAAATGAATTGCAAATACTTTTTCCTTCCCAAGATTTCCTGTAATTTCCTGTAACTGACATGGAACTATAAATTGATGGGATCATTCCTGAAAACATTTTTAATTCATTACTTCTATTTTAGAAACAATAATCCAGCAGTATTCTGTGTATAAACTGGTAATAAAGTCATCTTGCATATTTGAACAATTTTGACTATGACATAACTTTATCTTTATTCATACCATACGGCGGCCATATTGCTTAATGCTTTCCAGGAAATTTCTGAAGAACTTAAAGAAAATCCACATTTTCAGAGTTCTTGAGACTAAATGAGACTGAGTAAATAACTGTACCCGAGTCTGCCCAGCTGCTCCAGTTCAGGCACCGGGGGTCCATAGGTTTCAACTTGGAGGGGTCTGTAGTGGTAAAGAACATCCTCTATCTTGGTAACAGGCTGGAGAGACACCGTCTGCCGCTGAAAGAAAAACACAAAAGAGGCACGTCATTCAAGACGGGAAATAATCGTCATTGTCTCGGCGCATCGTGCAACCCTGGAAACTTTATGGCTATGGCGCAAACACACAAAAATTGTTTGGAATACGGTTAAAGTCAATCAGTCCGCAGCATTAGCACCCACTGGTTCTTGACAGACTGGTTTGGAAATAGAAGTTCTGTCTGACAACATTTTCACTTTCCCCAGGCAGCGGCGGTTTGGAGGAGAAACTGAGGCAGGACAGTGACTGAACATGTTTTTAGCAGTCAAATAGTTTCGGAAACTGAACAGGACACACACACAAAAAAAAGGGGATGAGAACATCGTTCAGGAAAATTGTGGTCGGCCGAAATGTAATTCCTGATAACAAAGCAAGTGTATTTTGGTTCAAAAATGGCTATTGGCTTGCTCCATAAAACCACCAAAGAGAAATCGGCTGATAATGTATAAATGTAGTGTGGAGGAAATGCTTTGTTTGTGGGTTGAGTTGTGATTATTTTAGCGTGGTTTCACCTAAAACTATGTCCATCAAAGCTGAAATATGTTCAAATTACAAACGCTTGTAAATCTTATAAAAGTTGTTTAATTTTTTTTTTTTTTTAATCCAATCAATAATTACTCTGAGCTGAAATTTCAGTCAGACTATTCCAGTTCCTAATGCTCTTGACCGTGCAGATCGAGCAAGAAATACGAGACTTCTTCGGGATACTGCAGCATTGTTCGATTTGGGGCTCTGCCATCAAAGGGGAATTTCCACACAGCATCCGACCGCTATGTTTTCTCCAGCATTAAAGTAATGAGACTCATAAGACAAGCCTGATTCATGAAACAAACCTGGAATTAAAAAGGATGATGTTTAAACAAACATGAACTATTTTAGAGTGCAGCGAAGGACCTCAGAGACAAAGGAGAGATAAAAAGATAAGAGAGAAAGCCAAGAAGAGGAAAAAAAAAAAAAGTAGTGGGGGGAGTATAAACAACAGAACACAGAGGGGAGTCGATGAAAACCAAACTAAACGAGTAACATGTGCCCTGCGGCCTCACACTGCCTGCCTTCACACATGCTTTGGCCCATATGAGCGCAGACACGGGGGAAATAGAGCGACCAAAACCTGAGCTGGAAGTTACAAAAGCACCAAAGACATGAGATGACAACACATGCAGAGTTTCCTTCCAGGTCCCAATAAAGGTGCTTTCATATGTGCACTTTTCCCCCCATTAATCTGACAGCATCTGAACTGGTCCGCTTCATGTCTGAATGACAAACCTATCAGATTCAACAGCGCAAGTCTGAACTGCATGCAGTCACATTAACAGACAGGCATGCACAAGATTATGTCTTTTAGCTTAAGAAAGACGCAGCCAAAAGAATTTGAGAATCTGTACATGCGTTTGGAGATGCAGCAGCCTCAACGCAACTTTTACACAGAAATTCTGAATAAAGAGGTTTTTGATATTTCACCACCTCATCATCTTGGCACAGATAAACAGGATGTTGTCGCGCGCCTAAATGCTGAAAACGGACAACTCAGAGCAGCGCAGAACGATAAATGCAACCCTACTGAAAGATGTTCACCAAAAAGAAAAGTAGGAGAGATAAGTAACAACAGTTATTGAAATACAGAAAAACAGCAGATGAGTACAACATTGCATGAGAGCATTAAAATAAACTTCAGCTTTATTTATCTATTTTTCAAGATTCAAGAAGTTTGTCGTTTTGCATATTATTATTATTATACTTCTTCTTTTCATTATCATCATCATCATAATCATTATTATTATGCTATATCTCATCAGCATCATGTTTTCTAGGACAAAAATACTTGGCCACATTCACATTACACCTAAAGGATTTGCTCGGCCATGAAGCTCACAGTCCAGTTTCCGTGCTGATGTTAATGGCAGAGGAGGTTTGAGCTCTGCATATACTGAGTTAGCACAGCATTGGCTTCTTTTTACGTACTTTTACACACATGTGGCAATGGGACTGAAAAATGAAGAGGTGTGGACCAAGACTTTTGTCTACGTAGTGTATTTTGCATTTTAATTTTTAAATTCCCTGCAACTCATTATAAAATACACCTCAAAAATAAATATATCTATCCTGACAATTATTTAACCACCATTCATTCACCTCCGACCACATTAGGCCAGCATCATTTTTCCCTTACGATCCATAAAATAATCCAGATATTGAATTCATTATGGGCTAACTTAATAAAACAACCCCACCCCATATTACATTTACCTATAGGAAGTTAAACAGATGGATCTCGTCTGTTTCACAAAATCCTGCTTCCCAGAATAACTTTCAATTATTTTAACAGAACGAGTCTAAACCTGTTGCATTCAGCTGTGGTTTACACATGAAGGTGTGGGTGGCAACAGGGATAACGGCAGTTGCAGCACATTAACAGCAATAAAACAGCAATAAAATTTTTAAAAGTGGGTTTTTCCACAGAAGAAATTATGAAAACTAAATATCAAATCACACCAAAACATTTCCTTATGATGTCCTTATCTATATCGAGATCGATCGATCTATCTATTATATATACTTTGGATCACAAGAGATACTGTTAGACTGTAAGGGATGCCAAAAAACTGCTGGGTATCTGTTCTTGGCCAGATTGTCAACTGTAAATTCCTAATATATGCAAGTAAATTAGAAAAAACAATATAATATATTTGCATTGCTAGTGTATAAACGCAGTTTCCTTTAAAGCACTAGGCACACACTTCTCCATGGTTTTCATTCAACCTTTCACCCTGAGGTACCAGTGCTCCGTTATACCATCCTATCCATTCATCCAACGCAGAGGAGCCCCACCACAGGCTAATGAAATCCAGACCAATGAATGCAATCCCAGTCACTCTCACTCTCTTTTGCACTCTTTCAGACTGTTCATCCATCTTCTTCCAAACTTTCAGCACTGCTTAACTCCCCTACTGCGCACTCAATGAGATGCACTGGGACAAAGGGAAGGTGGAAGGAGAAGCAGAAGAAGAAGAAAACTCCTGAGTGGTGGTGTGGTAAAGAAAGAGCAGCAAATTGGCAGTTGCAGATGGCTGAAGAGCAGTAAATCAGCCCACCTTTTTTTTTTTTTTTTAAGTGGCAGACACAACAGACCCAGCCCCCATTATGGGGAAATTTCTTCTACATTCCTCTGCAAGGGCACCTTGAAAACTGGCACAGATGCATCAGCACCCACAAAAGCAGCCTTTAAAGATGTCCACGCAAACATAGCGACTTCTAATTATATTTACAGAAATGCGTAAATGAATGACTTGTAGTACATACAAAATGCTTTGAAAGAGAAAAAAAAAACTGAATGAATGCCCATAATGTAGAGCCGTGACCCCTCAGGACTGATTTCTCCTACAGCTAATACCACTGCTGAGGCTTTAATCATGTGCACATCAAGTCAATGTGACTTAGAGTATGAATGCTGTTTTCTAAGTCCTTCAGTTAAAGACAACGAGAGAGCGAGAGAGAGCGAGAGACCCCCAGCCAGACCCAGCAGAGCAGAAACGGCTGAGGGACTAAGGGGCTGTTGAAACAACGCCCCAGCAAGAGCCAAAATAAACATCTGGTTTTATCATTATGGAGGCCCATCCTCCTACCTATACAACACAGTGTATTACAAGTTTGAGCATGTAACTGGTTTTAAGGCTCATATAATACCCCTGTGGCATTAAAGTGAAACTCTGGAGGCCATCAATCTTAATAAAACCGCAGGGGAGGATGATTTGAGGAAATCACCGTCATGCCAACGGGAGTACTTCAACTTACCCTGAATTTGTACCTCAACATTATCCGGTTGTACCACAACCAATTCCAAGTAAAACTGTTGCAGGTGTCTATCCGTTAACTGATGCAGGTAACAGGTGTGCAGGCTGATATTGTGCTTTAACATTACACATAAGTATTTATTTAGCGGGAATTGTTTTTAGGGGGTAGTTTCATTAATGGACTTTACTAAAGTAGCTGTGTATGTTACAGAGCCTTTTCTGCCCCGTCTTCATTGAGTACATGATGGAACACATGGAATACCGATTTGACTTGCAGACTTTAAAAGATGTACAAATGAACTTGCAAAACCATCACTGGGAACTTGTTCCTGTTTTTGACTGTGTAAACATTTGTGCGTTGACTATTTTATTGTTGCAATTTTAATAGGTTTGTCTGATGTAGGTGTCGCTTGTAAATGACACATTGAGTCTCAGTGGAACTACCTGTACAAATAAAGGTAAAAAAAGAATCCTAATTACTGACATCATAGAGACCCAAAAGTAGAAAAATTGCGCCTGAAACCTAAAAATATAGGTAAACATTAAAGTAACTTTATAGGACTCTCATAAAAGTCACATAACTTTGAAAGTACTAGAATGTGTCATTAAAGGATTCACAAAAAAATATGTTTTAATGGCATATTAAGCTATAATATTACTTGGCACTGACCATCAATGCTAAAGTATGATTAGAATAGGATTTAAAATGTGAGAACTGCGGTCAAACAAGGCTAAAGAAGAAGATCTTATACAGCGTTAACGATGCCAAACTTTAATCCAAAAAGCTCATTGGTCAACGGCTCAGATTGTGGGTCACAAGACCCCTCCACACACACACACACACACACACACACACACACACACACACACGGAACAATCGTCAGCACTCCCCGCCCATCCCACTCTCTCCCTTGACTTTGCAGCTCAGCAGGACACATCAAGGTTGCTGAGACTAACCTCTCCATCAGCACCTTCCCACAACATCCACGCACTCGCACACACAACCACATACACTCATGTGGTCCCCGAGGATTTGGGAAGCCACAGCTCCAGAGCCATCGAGGCACTCGGCGCTAATGCAAATCCTGATAATGAGAACAATGGAAAAGGGGGAACAGTGGTTGGTTTTGCAGAGGGGATAAAAAATAATAACCACGGTTCAGGGCCAGGCTAGTCCCAGCCCAACTCCAGTCCTCACTTCCACCTTCCGCACTGGTGCTGCCAGTGCTTCTGTATGGATAAAGAGCTTTGGGCTACCCAGCGGCCCACTAAGCAGCAAGTAGCAAGTGTAAAACTGCTTCCCATACAGTGCCTCAACTTGCCTTACAAGTTTAAATATAACTGCCTGACCAGTGGCAGCTGCCCCAGCGCAAAGCCCCTAAAGCTGACAACTTCTTTTTCCGCTGGGCTGGGCTGAAGCAGCTTGCCCAAGGGCTGCTGAGGCCAACCTAAACAGGGCCAAGCCGGGGCCAGGGGCAGAGGTGTGAATGCCCACATGTGCTGGTGCCAATCAGGGCTGACGGTTCTCCCTGAGGTGACCCCCCACCCCCACGCCAGCGCTTTCAACCCTGCGTGCCAGCAGTCCAATATAAAGGAAAAGGCCAAAGGACAGAGTTTGTGCACTCTCCCACATAAAACATGCCACCTTTGGTTTGTGAATGCTGCAAGGTCAACAATCTCAGTATAAACAACATAATTTACCTGCATCTGTAAAAATTTGTGAATAAGAGATATAAAGATAACACTGAAGAAGAGCGAGTGGGGGTTGCATTAAGTATAAAGCGACAAACTTGCAGGCAAAACAGGTTGGGCCAGTCTGCCAGAGCGAAGTAAAGCAGAGCCGGCACAGCGCTGACAAGTGCGTCTACTGCGCAGAGGTCACCCTAGAGGACAACTTAACCAAGTGAAACAGGCCTGAGCAAACAAGCTCACAGCATGTCTGTGTGTGTTTGTGTTTGCTTGTGTTTTCTGTGGTATTCAAATTCCACAGCCTAAGAGTAGAATGGACTACAGCCAGAGAGGACCCGAGGTTATTTCAGCCAGCTACACGTCAATGTTTAGGTATAAACTTTCCACCCACATTTAGCCGATTGTGTGTGTGAGTTCCACTTTTGTTTATGTGTGTGCTTGCCTCCTGCTTTCATTAGGTGCCCATGCCGGCCCCGTCAGGTATGTCAGCTGCTCTCCTGCCTGTGAGGAGGGGATTGGGCCCCAGCAGCGCAGGAACCTGGGACCTTTCATTTAAGATGGCGCTGAAAGCTGCCCCCAAGGTGGAAAGATTCCCCATCGGTCAAAATGCTTTCAGGAATGGGACACTGTAGCAGCTGGGGGAAAAAAAATAAAAAATTCCCAACTGCAAACACACACACACACACACACACACACACACACACACACACACACACACACACA